GCCAAGCCAGCCTTCAGCAGCCACCACACGTCATCAGTCAGCAGCCATCAACATCCAGGCAGGACCCTCCACCAGCAAAATGATCGTAACTTGCTGAAAGCTCAGATGATGGTTAGCACTGGTTTCGTTTTTAAAGATTTCATCTATCTGACAGAGAGAGAGCACAAGCAGGGGGAGCAGGAGAGGGAGAAGCAGGCTCCCCGCTGAGCAGGGAGCCCGACGCGGGGCTCGATCCCAGGAGCCTGTAGTCAGCGGACTACAGTATAGTGTAAACGGAAACTTTTATATGCCCTGGGAAACCACAAAAATTTACTCCGCTCACTTTATTGCAGTGGTCTGGAACCAAACCTGGGGAGGATCTCTGACCTACGCCTCTACTACTTTCACACCATCGAGTTGAAAAATCGTAATTCCAGCCATCATTAGACTGGGGACTGTCTGTACATTAATTAGGTATATAGAAGAGAACTCGAACTCAGTTCGTTTCCAAAATATCCAGATCATAACTTTCTGTAATTTGCTGGCCCAGGGTGGTTCTGAGTCTGGGCAGATGAACTTAAAACTTTGTATGAATCAAAGTATTTTTTTTTTAATTTTTTTTTTATTTAAAAGATTTTATTTATTTGAGAGAGAGAATGAGAGAGAGAGAGAGCATGAGAGGGGGGAGGGTCAGAGGGAGAAGCAGGCTCCCTGCCGAGCAGGGAGCCCGATGCAGGACTCGATCCCAGGACTCCAGGATCATGACCTGAGCCGAAGGCAGTCGCTTAACCAACTGAGCCACCCAGGCGCCCGTGAATCAAAGTATTTAAAGACATAGGATTCCCCACTGTTCCTTAATGGAAAATGAGCCAAGCAGAGACACCAGTGATGCTGAGGAAGCAACCAGATGTATAAAGACGGCCAACATCAATGCAGTGATTAGAGTGTCTGGCGAGAACAAGAAAGGACGGCCCCTCTGGACAAGGCAACTGGGCAGCCATGTTTGTACAGTGAGGTATGTGATACCAGAGCCAATGATTTCTCACGGGTCAAGAACAAACCATATTAAGTAAAATGGGACAATAAACAAGAAACATGCCAGGCTAACTCTGGGTAAATATGAGAGTATTCTCTACATAGTATATGAAGTAGATATAATTAAGAAAGAATCGACTACAGGGCGCCTGGGTGGCTCAGTCGCTAAGCGTCTGCCTTCGGCTCAGGTCATGGTCCCAGGGTCCTGGGATCGAGCCCCGCATCAGGCTCCCTGCTCCGCGGGAAGCCTGCTTCTCCCTCTCCCACTCCTCCTCTGCTTGTGTTCCCTCTCGCAGTCTCTCTGTCAAATAAATAAATAAAATCTTTAAAAAAAAAAAATAATAGACTACAGCTACAGTGGAAGAAAAATGGGCTTGAGTTTGAGAAGTCTCCTCCCTGGCTAGTTGCTATGTCACTATTTTTTATGTCTTCTATTTTTTTTGTTTGGTTGGTTTTTTGTTCTGTTTTTTTACATTTAAAATTGTTAAATAAGCCATAATTTTGGAATGATTTCTAAGGCATAAATGATTGTCCGTTTAAATGAAAATGCAGTTCATGGTTGTATGGAGGATAGACATTTATTCACAGTGAAAACGCACGTACCCAGAGTGAATGTCACAAAATACAAAGAGTACCGCCCAGTCTGGTGAGCTCACTATTGTTAAGCATTCTCTCAACCTGCACAGGTTCTCTCTCACTCATTGTCACCTTTTCTCCCTTTTTTTATCTATTACCCAAGTTTCAGCTTAAAAATTAACAAATATTAATGCTTAACCTTTGAGCAGTAGTTACTAAGGGTAAAACAAGTTATCTGATCTTCAGCCCCAGGTATTTCAAAGCGGAATTATCTTCTAAAATAGAAAACAACAGTACATGACCGCAGCTATAACTTAAGTCAGTCAGTGAGATAAGGTTCACAGGTGCTGGGAAAAGAACTCAGAAGTACAGGTCTTCCACTGGACCGAACTTTAATCTGCGTGTAGAGAGACACGGCCGTACATGTGTAAGGCTCGGCTTGAGTGCCAACATGAAATTCTCCCCTGTCTGTTCAGAGTCTAGAAAACATACAAGTATAGAACTTGAGTATACATATAATCTAATTTATTGTTTCAGTTTCCCAGGCCAACTGGGTAAGAATTCCTGATTCTGAATGTTGGTTCTCTGAATAGGTTTTCTTTTATTAATGTTGGAGATCGATACCTCACATAATTTAACTAGCAATACAGTGAATGTCCTCATAGGGAAATTCCTCATTTAACACTCCCTGATTAGGTGTTATAATTTTACACTGAAGTATAATGCAACTAAGAATTTTAAAGGAATACCAACCAACTTCTTTTCTTATGGGGTATTTCAGTAAATTGTTAATACATTTCAAATACTACTAATTGAAACTAATTCTATGTATTTTATTTAACAAAAAACCTGTAAGACTGACTTAACTGTTAACTGGCTCTGTGAAGCCTTACTTGGGTATATGGCAGGTTTGCGATCTAAAGGTAATTCACCTTTTGAAAAACTGATTTACTTGGTGATAAAGATATCCCATAGATGTTTACTACTTAATACTTCATCTGCAAATCTGCTTCTCTGTTACGATACACAGAATCAACTGCTATCTCAAAACGCAAGTTTGTCTGAAGGCATGCAGAGCCTTAATATTCTGGTACATAAAATTTAGTTCTATAATCCCTACTTGGAACGGTTTGGTTTTTCATGTAAAATTAACCACAGTGTTACTTGTTTGTGCAGGAATACTCCCTAATTATATAACACTTTTTTTTTTTTAAGAACATGGCAACAGATAGCAACTGAATTCTAGAAAATATTTATCTGATAATTATGTAAGTTCTAAGTATTCTAAATTTACCCAATTTGAAGAGAATATTTATATTCTATAATAACTTCACCAATATCCAGGATACCTTTATAACTTGCCCTATTCTTGCACAGGAATAAGATATGCAGGTATCTAGACCCAACAGCAGTAACACTGATATTATTTGGAAGCCTGGCCTGATGGCTGGTCTTTATATTAAATTCTGTATGTCTCTAACTCTTGCTCTTCTCTAAATGTCCTAATCACATTGCACAGTGACTTATTGCATAGCATTCAACGTAATTTCCAAAAAAGGTACTTTACAGGTAAGTCCAAACTTTATTTAAACTGCATCTTAAATTTAACGATACCAAACAAAACAAAGGGAGGAAAAAAAAAATGAAGACAAAAGAAAAAGAAAAAAAAAAAAAAAGGAAAGAAAGAAGAAAAACAAACAACCCCACAGTGTATCAAGGCTTCAATCTGTCCAGAATTCAGTTTCTGAGGTTTTAAACTGCCAGGGGCAGAAATTAGCACACCTATCAAGAATGCAGTGTCAAACTAATTTACATTTTTATACAGATCAAAACAGATGTTTATTTAGTGCCATGTTCATATATGCACTGACTATGTAAAGCGAGTTAGATGAGCCTCTGAAGACCTCTCATACGCTTTGGGCTCCCACTGTTTCTGAAAAACAGAATAATTAATGCACTATAAATTACTGAATTTTAAGACATTACTTACTAGAATTTATTATTGTCCTCATACATTAAAACTTTTAGCATAAAGTTACAAAGTGAGGGTTTCTGTTTGAAGATGGCAGACTGAACAGATACTTCCTGTCTCTTAAAACTCCACCAGAAAAAAAAAAACTATGAAACTGACTAAATGCCGACCAAGAAGAGTAGCTATGAGGGAGAGCAGGCCCGGAGACGACAAATCCCTGGAATGCTCAAAGCAGATGGAGGTGCAAGGAAGGGGGGCGGGGCTCAGCCTGGACCCACTAGGAGGGACGCAGGTGAGGTTAGCTGAAGGTTTGATATTTAGTCTGCCCTTCTCTTCACCCATTTCTAGGAAAAACAAAAATTGATGAATTGATAAAGAATAACAAAAAGAAAATCTCTGATTTTGATGCAAGACACATTCTCCTCTGAGTGGCCCAGGGGTTGTGCTATCAGATCCATAAAGAAGGAAATCTGGGATTATCACTTGACTCTGCAGTGAGTCATGTTTACACAGAATGGTCTTCAGAAAAAGTAAAGAAGTTTTAACTATTACAGTTACAAAAAGGTGTGTTGGGTTTTATAACTTTAATGTAAGAAGATGAGTAAAACTGAAGAGAGAAAGCAGAAGAAAAAGGGAGTGGCAGCTGAGTAATGACCAAAGTTGATGGAACTATAAAACATATATATTTAAAATAACAAAGGTAGCACAGAGAAAAACCAAAAATAAGAGTGAAAGGATAGGTCCAAATGCTCACTTTTCATAGGGAAGACAAGATATGTCTGAATTTAAGTTAAGAAAAATTGTATCATTTAGAGATACACAGGCTCTCATCCAAAGGAACTAAAAACCAATAGTTAAAAGAAATGGGCTCCCGCCAGTTTATCATGAATTCTTTTTTACCTTTCCTTCTTAAAATTGGGCTTCTGTTACCTTGCTAAAACTCAAGATTTTAAAAACAGAAATAAATTACCTGATAGTATCACTTTATAAATTAGGCAACAGATCTAGACTTTTTACAGAATTATGCTTCCCTTTCAATATTTGGATTAAATCTTCCGAGTACTAGTAGTGGATTTAAAAAACAAACTGATGGTATCAAGGTTCATTAATTTTTCAATATGATATCGTGTAACTCTTACCGGGTTCCTTTAGTGTCTGAGAATTCCCAGCTAATTCTTCAACCTGCATTTCACATAGTATTTCACCAGATAAATGGTTTTTCTGTTCTTCTTCTACCATTTTCTTTCTTAGATCTGCCTTTGGAATGAAGAAAAAACTGAAAATCAGTTTTCATCCCAGTAGTATTTGTCATATAAAGACAAGTTTAATTAAAGAGAGCAAAATACCTCTGAATATATTGTCAGTTTAAGTGGTAAATCTTCAACTTTCACAAAGTCTTCTTCATCAGATTTTTGACTTATGTTACCAGATTCTGCTTCCTGTAAGATAAATTATATTTAATGAAGGCAATCCACTCTATCTCTGGATCGAAGTCTTTGAAGTCATCCATGCCAAGGATAAAATGGATTTGTATATACAAGCATACATCAGTAATTCTGTCCTATTTGGTTTTTTTCTGTGTTCAGCTCTACGAATAAAGCAAAGCTGGAGTGCACAGGAAGGGCCATGTAGTTGTAGCTGTGGGCCATACTGCTGAGCGTTTCTGTCCCCATTTGAAAAAAACAGAGAGCCAGCTTATACAGGTTAAAGGAAGAAACAGTAGTTACACTGAGGGCTAAAACCATCAGAACAACAACTCTGGTTTCCTGATAATGTTTACGGAACGCATCAGCGTGTATCCAGCAGAATTTACATACAGGCTTTCAGTATCAACTCCGTGGAAGCTGAGAAAGATGAGGTATGAATCTAATAACTCACTTTTGTGATCACTTCAATGTCTAAAACTTGAATTCTTTTATTCTCCTAGTTCTCCTTTCTGATTTTTAATAGTACCATTTTAGCAATTACCCAAGTAGAAACCTTAGATTTTTCCTCCTCTTTCAACATTTCTCACCCATCTCTTTCATTAAGCTTGTACTTGGTTCCTATGGTAAGGGAGCCTCCTAATGTAGCATCCCTGACAACAGTCATCAGTCATCAGATTCATCTTCAAAAACCCTGACTTTGGCCATTTGACTTTCTTGCGCAAAGCCCTTCAGTAGTGTCCCCTGCCTAAATTTCAAATTCAAGTCCCTCTATAATCAAACTTTAAGTTAATTTCACTTGACTGCCTCCTAGAGCAACTCTATGCACTCATTAAATGACAGTAAGAATAAGTCTAACAGATAACTTTCAGAGTTGTAAATGGTAATTTCACTGTTGGTGAAGCCATCAAAATGGTTAAATTACTCTTTTTAGTAATGGTTTTGAAATATTATAGGCTTCCTTTCTGAGAAATTAGGAAATCATAATTGTAACTCTATCTTTAGGAAGAAAACTAATGTTAATTAAAAAAAAAAATGAAACACTCTATTTAGATCTAAAAGTACATTGTTATAAATTCCTCAATTTTTGCCAACAAGAGAAAGTATATAAAACACAATCCAAGATCCAAAATATAACCTACATGCTATAAAATTAAAGTGAAACAAAAACGTCCAGAGTAAAACTCAGCTTACGTACCTACATCCTAAGTACAGATTTGCTACCATATATTTCCGTCATTTACGGTAAGGAGTCTACTGCTGTCAAATCGTAAACTTTTAGGTTTATCAAAGATTTATGAAATGTTCTAAAATTGTTGAGATGTCAAGCCTGGGCACTGTAAGAGATTAATGATGATTCACACATCATCTGTTCGGGTCTGACCTTGAACTCTCTCAAGGTTGCCACCTAAAACTCAAAATCTGGGTCATAAACTTATAAAAAAGTAGAACAGCTTTTAGGTTTTGATATATGATCATCTTAATTCACTATCACCCTTCTGTTCAAGTGTAAACTAAGTTTAAGTAAGAAATTTTTTTTGGCAGTTTCTAAACACAAACACAAACAAACCTAAACACAGTCTGTGTTTACAGACTGAAAATGTTAACCTGAAAAGGAAGAAATCCACATAGAAATGAAATGTAGATGATACATACATAGTCATTCACTAACACCGGAGATTCAGTATCAGGACTTCCAGCCAGAGAGCTCTCAGGAGTTTCCTGAGCAGATTTAACTTCTTTGACTGTAGGCACCAAGGTTTCAATTTCAGTTAAAGGTAAAGGCAAAGGGTTAGGCTGTTTAGATGAATCAATGGTAGTGAGAGAGTCCTTCTGGACAGCGCTATTTAAAGGTTGCTCGTTTTCCAAGATATTGAGGTAACAGGGTTTCACGGGAGTGCTATCTTGGTCATCTGTCATCAAAAGAAAGTCTCAACTTTAGTGTAATGCAACAGTTGTTAAATTTCACTATTATACCAAATAGTATGTATGAGTTGAGTAATCAAGACCTTTAAGACTCAAAAGACAACTACAAATTTTCCTTATCAATGATTCCTAAAACTAGTTGATCAGATTCATCTGGGGATGTTTTAAAAATCAAATTCCTGAAATCCACGCAATTTCTAATGAAGTATGATATTCATGAGTAATACCCAGGAATGGGTATTCGAAAAAAATCCCCCATGTTTGTATCTAAAGAGGTTTTCTTTGAAGACTTTTTCTGTGTGTTTAATTATTTGTCAACTTTTCTTGAGCAGCTGTTTGCAGAAACAAAGCCCTCGTGTTTTCTATAAAGGATTTAGGGGAAGAAGAAAAGACATACCTCAGGTCCAAAATACCTTCAAACTTACATTAGCTAAGAATTTAGATTTTTTTTTTCTTTAGCTTTTAAGCACATAAAGGGCACTTTAAATAATCTTAAAATTGATTTCTTTAGATTTAGATTTCTTGCCTTTACTAGTAGTGGGTTCTTGTTCTGATGAGAAATTTTTGCTTTCTCCTGATTTTTCAAAGCCATGTTGTAGTACCTAGAAGGAAAAAGTGATGTCTTAATAGCAGGACCTAAAATATATGGCCATTATATAGGAGATGGTTAGGAGTGTATAGTGTCTGTCCAACCTGAGACCTTCATACAAGGGAATTTAAAAATATCTTCTGAAAGTGTTTCAAGAAGGAGGCTGTAGTTGAAACTTTAAGATGGCTAAGTAAAATGTTTCATTTTCTTCTTAACCTCAAAATAATAGAGAACTAGAGTATTACGGATCCCACTATTTTTTTAAATTTTCTTTTTTTCAAACCAGACTCTATCTTGAAAGAAACTAAAAGATAACCCATTTATATGTAGATGTTAAGTGAATGGAAGAAGAACTGACCAGGAGGGGAGAAAGATAAAGCCAAGTGCCTTCAGCAGGAGGAGAAAACAAAATCAGATTCACCTCATGCTTGGAAGAGGAATACAGTAGTGGATGAAAAGAGGGTGGTGCTGGTGGTTCTCTGAAGCTGTTAAAAGAAAATGCAAACATCGAGGTTCCCTCCCCCAACTTTAACAGAAAATGGGAGATTTTGGTAAAACTGAACTAGTGAGCCTCAGACCTGGGGGTTGCCAGGGGTAAGGGTGGGATGCAGAAAGCACAGATGAGGACAGGATAAAATGTCATGCTGAAAACAGAAGGATTCAGCCCAAGTCTGTATAGTGATGGGACCTTCAGCACCACTCCCACATCAAGCTCCTGAACACAGGCAGCCAAGGAGGTATAAATACCTCCTCCCCGGCAAGAGGAGAATGGAAGACCCTTCTGTGGAGAAACAAACCACCCCAGAGAAAAGACCAACAGGTATTAACATTTGGGATTTTCTGTCAAAAAGCTATCTACCCAGGCGCCCTACAGTGAAACCCAGAACAACCCCAACCGGCTTTCTGGTGTATCATTTTTTAGCATTAACACTGAAGGTACCACAGACATTTGAAGAAAGCCTCCAGGTGGGTAAGAGAAGACAGTGCTTCTTTTAACTAATAGCATGCTATAAAAAAGTAATCAGAAAATAAAAGTATTTAGAAATTAAAAATATGACATTCATGTAAGTTATTAGTCAAAGAAATCTCCCAGAAAGTAAAACAAAAAGAGCAAGGGGACGATAAAAGGAAGAGAGAAGAAAATCAGAAAATCAACCCATGAGGGCTAATGATGTCTGATAATATTAATTCCAAGAGGAATGAAAGGATAAAATGGTGGAGAAGCAATACAAAAAAAGAAAATTTACCAAAATAAAGGACATGGTTATTGACTGCTTACAGACCCACTGAGTACTCAGTATAGTGAATGAAAAAAAGACACACAACAATGTCTATCACTGTAACACTTCAGAACTCCACGGGGGAGAGCTCTAGTGTGGGCAAGAAAAAAGAATACAAAGAATCAGAACTGAAAAAGGCATCAGCCTTCTCAGCAGAGGCACTGAAATGTTTCAACAAGGAAGAATTTAAGATTTTCTTAGACCTATAAAGTCTCAAAATATTTATCTTTCATGCACTCTTTCTCAGAGAGGTACTAGAAATGTGCTCTACCAAAATGAGGCAAAAGGAGGACAAGACTGGATTCCAGAAACAGATGGAATAAAGAATGACAGGCTGCTAGCTAGTGAGCAGGTCTAATGAAGAGCAAAGCCAGGATGGAGCAGGAAGGACAAACTGACAAACTGGTACATGCAGAAAAGTCCCCTGAGAAGTTTATACAGCTGTTGTTGGGCAGAACAAAGACTTGGGTATGTGGTCAAAGAAAATCAGGCAAATAAAAAAATGGAGACAATTATTAATTTCGAGTGAAAAAAATGTATGAGACTAAGCAATAAACAGTATTTGCTTAGTTCAACAGTCGGTAATATTTATGTAGTTTGTTTAGATCTACGGTTAAATGTAGATTTAAGCAAAAGATACAATTAAATGAGGATAGGATTAATATAATTAAATGAGGAGTAATTAAGTGACCTAAAAGTCTTCACCTACTATAATAGGAAGTCAACAGAGAATGTCATACTATTCAGAAATACAGAGTTATGTAACCAAAGAAATCATACAAAGTGCTACCTATGGGACAAGATGAGGTGGAGGTAGGAAAGGGAATGATTTTTGTTATATACTGTTTCCATGTATGACTAGGAAATACATAAAGATACATGAAAAATCCAGATCTTCTAGGTAGGTTGACCCCCCACCCCCCCAAAAAAAAGATTAAAGTGCTTTATATATAAGCATTGCTAAATATAAAAATAAACTAGTGTTTGATTGAGATTTCAGTAAGGATATTAAAAAGATTTGTTTATTCATGAAAACGAGAATGGGGAAGCTGTAAATTCTGACATCCTTGAAAAGGATCTGCCTTCAGGAGTTAAAGAAGATTGGGGAAGATGTGCTAGTGTGGACTGGAATACCTGATCATCGTGTTCAGTTTCTTCTATAGCTTCGGTGTTAGCCTGAAGTGAAGTCTGGACGTCCACAGGTCCCTCTTCAAATTCTTCTATTTCTTCATCCTCATTCTCATCTTCTCCACTTCCATAATTAGTCAAAGCCTGAGTTTCAGCTTTGGACAAGTCTAAGTTGATTAATACACAGTTTTTAGTAAATTTTCAGCACTAAATCTTAAGAGCTGCTACCAGGTACTGCATTCCTGCATTGCCCAAGTCCTTTACATACAATATCTGAAAGCTTCCGAACAGTAGGCAGAAGAACACTGTGGTGCAGAAAGGACAGGGCATCTGGTCAGGGCCACACCAGACCGTTCAGAGTTGCTGGACACCTAACTCTACATTCACTACAATCCACCCAAATGTTTGGATAAGTGACCTATAAAGAGCCAATGTATAAACCCAGTACAGAGCCTTTACACTTACTAATAGACACCGGACATTCTTCACTTTCTTCATCTTCCTCTTGATCAGAAACATCCGATCTCACATTTTTGGGACCGTCATCAACATACATCTCAGATGTCTGAGTCTGCTTAACTGTTTCAGTTTCATCCTTGTCCTAGCCACAAATACACGTAATGAATTCCTTAAAATACATTTTAAAAGGTATATAGTAAGCTCATCACAAAAATAGTCACGATCTAATAAAAAATACAAAAAGTTATTTTTAAGAGAAAATAAAATTTTGTCAGAAGAAAGGCCATTTGATGATAAAGCTTTCTCTCAAACATTAAGGTAAAAGCTATTAAAGTTATTTATCTTTTGTCCCAAAAGCATTGTTTTTAGGCACAAATTAATTAGCCACTTACTTTGTCTTCATCATCAATTTCTCCAACAGGTGAGCCACGATCTCCTTCAAGAATCCTTTTGGCCTTATGAGCAAATTAAACAGAATTCAGGGGTGACCTTTCAGCATTATACTTACTCAGTAACTTTAACAAATGCTGCAGTTTTTGACCACAGTCCAAAGAGTTGAATGCTTTTTTAGAAATGCAAATTCAACTCTTCCATTGAAATCTTTTAAATTAGCCAAACAAAAAATCAACACTGCTTACCAGACATCTCCCTGAATAATGAGCATCTCAAATTCATTAATTCCAGAACAAAAACCTTGACTCCTCCCTCCCCAAACCCCAGCCTCCTTCAGTCTTCCCAATCTCAGTAAATGGCCCTTCATGTACCCCATGCACAAGTCAGACACCAGGAAGCAGCCTGGACTCTACCTGTATTATCCACATCTAAACCCTAAGAATGCCTCATTGACTCAGAGCTCGGAGCTAAGTCACATCATTTCCTACCTGCACTACTGCCGACAGTCTTAAAACTCGTCTCTGCCTCTATCTCCTCTCCTACAATTCTTATACAACACGGTATCTAGACCAATCTTTTCACTGCACATGAGATTATGTCCCTCCTCTATTTCAAAATTTCCCATGGGTTTCCATCATGCTTAGAATAAAATCAAATAGAAGGTCCTTACCGCTGTTGCTAAGGCCCCATAGTTTGGCCTTACCTACCTAGGTGACCTCATCTCCTACACTCTCACCTCTGATGAGGTGTTCCTGCTACCCTGGCCTTCTATAGGTTCTCCAAACTGCTCAACCCTGTCTCAGAGTCTTTGAACTTACAGTTCTCTCTGCCTGGAATGTTCTTCCCTTTCATCTTCATTATAAACTCCTTTCTTGCCTTAGTTCATACTTCACCCACTCAAACAGCCTCACGAGACTGCCTATCTTAAAGTAGTCTTTCCAATCATTTATTATGGTTTTATTCGGTTTTATTTTCTTCAAGCTCTTGGCAATGACTGAAATGATCTGAAACCTATCTATGTCTAGAGTGAAAATATTAAGAAAAGTGTGAAATGGATGGCTTGACTTTTATCTACCTTAGATTTCAGGGAGAAAGGTTACCTCTTTCTGTTTTGGGTCTTGACGTGCCTTCTCATGACTAGAGAGTCAAGAGGAGGGAAAGGTCTGAGAGAGAAACCTTCTAGTATGCCTCAAGTTGAGGGGAAGAATCCCATCCAAGTTCATATGTGATCACACTAATTTAATAAGGTATAAGAAGCTACTGAGATGTGCAACCAAAGTCCCAACTTGTGAACAAGCATGTGGGTTGGTTGGGGTGACAAATACACCTGGTAGATCTGAGATCTGTCAGGGTCGAAAGAGCTACTGCAGAAAGCTGGTCAAGGACAGGATCCCAGTCCTCCTCTCTTCTCTGGAGACGTGAGTGACAACAATGTAAGACAGCTGATAATTCCTGTCACCAAGTCCTGTCTGCATTCCCGATCTTTTAGCCACTGCTGTCACATCTGAGATTCAGTATGTGGCTGGCATATGTGCTGATTTAGGTAATCTGATTAATTGCTATTACTCAGAAAATATGTGAGCTGAGGTCAAGTATGGTTTTAGTTAATAATGATCAAGCAATATATTTTAATGCTAATTATAACTACTCCTAAATTCAAAATGAATGTCATTTACCTCTTTGGCATAGGACTGTATCACTCCAGCTGCTTCTATTTTCCTTTTGCACCTCTGTTTGACAGTTATACTATTGTTATCCAAATCTTGCATGAGCTTGAAGAAAGCCAATTCATTAAACAACACTTCAGATATCTCTACGAGAAGATCTTCTCCACAGTCTTTCAGTTTTCTGCCAGCAAATTTTGCCAGTGAATCCTATTCAAAGATAAACCATGTAATTTTAAGATTATAGTAAACTTCAATGTGGGTAGAGCAATACAGAGGATTAACAAGTTTAAATTACAATACTCACCTAGGGAAAAACAATTTTATTATTTTTAGTATGAAAAAAGCTAAAACTAATGGCTAAGATTACTAGACAAAGAGTAATATTTGTTTTTAAAGATTTTATTTATTTATTTGAGGGAGAAAGATTGAGAGTGAGAGAGCATGAGCAGGTAGAGAGAGAAGCAGGCTCCCCACTGAGCAGGGAACCCGATGCGGAGCTTGAACCCAGGACCCTGGGATCATGACATGAGCCAAAGGCAAACGCTTAACTGACTGAGCTACCCTGGCATCCCATTCTTTTTTTTAAAGATTTATTTATTTATTTTGAGAAAGAGAGAGAGAATAGGGGCAGAAGGAGAGGGAGAGAATCTCAAGCAGACTCCCCAATGAGCATAGAGCCCTACATGAGGCTTGATCTCAAGACCCTGAGACCATGACCTGAGCAGAAACCAAGAGTTGGGACGTTTAACTGACTGAGCCACCCAGGTGCCCAAGATAGTAATATTCTTTAGTGATATTAACCTAAGTAGGAATCATGCCAGTCTCCTCTAAAGAGTATACAAAACGAAAAGAACAGGGCAGGTGATCATCCATAGATTTAGTCCCTAATTAATAGAACTGGAGGCCACAAAAGAGTAAATCAGGGGATACATATTTACCACAGTGAGAAGCTGAGGTGCCCAGGAGGAAAATACGAAGTCCTCCCTTTCTCAATGTTAACATCAGAGTACTTCTCAAGTTCCCCCATTTTATATAAGCCAGGCAGTCATTCTAATTTAAACTTTTTCTTCAGAATCAATTTAAAAGCAAACGTTAGTCCTATTCAAGTTGAAATACAGCATCATCAAATAAATAAGTCAGCTATATTCTAAACATTTTTTATAAAACTGCATTTCTTTTTCTTCCTAAAAATATGAACTATGCATTTTGAAAACCAGCAAACTATGTTCTGTGTCTCCTCCCTCCAAAAAACCGCCTCATCTAGCATAATTGTGGAAGAAGTGCAAATGTGGCTGCCTCATAAAAAAAAAAAATTCACTGAATAGGTTTCTTAGAGAAAAAAGTAGAAGATAGTATTTTAAGCTCTACCTCATGAAAAATTTTCAGTAGTCTGGGCAAGATTTACTGTCAACTAATCTTTATGCTTCTCTAGGTCCCTTTGTGGAAAAAAAAAAAAAATCAGGAATGGGATATAAGAAAAGCAGCCAGATTTTCTCAGAAAAAAATCTTATTTTCAAACTAATACTTTGGCATCTGTCTCAATTATGTAACAGTAGCCAAAACTGAGGGAGGATTGCACAGATCTTGAGAAACAAAAATATTTAATTATAAAGGATTTCTCTTTGAGCCTGATTCTGGAATGGAGTTATTTCTTTCTGTAGGAATAAACTAACTACTTAAAGTTTTTTTTTTTTTTTAATATTTTATTTATTTATTTATTTGACAGAGAGAGAGTGAGAGCACAAGCCAGGAGACAGAGGGAGAAGCAGGTTCCTCGCTGAGCGGGGAGCCTGACATGGGACTCGATCCCAGGACCCTGGGATCATGACCTGAGCCGAAGGCAGCCACTTAACCAACTAAGCCACTCAGGCGCCCCTACTTAAAGTTATAAAAACATATTTATCTAAAAATTATCCTAAACATTTTTAAACTGCATAACAAGAGAGATGTCTTATAGTTCTTATAGATGTGTTAGTTACAATTAGATTAAATAGAGCCAACATGACTTAAACCTATTATTGAATTTATACTTTACCTTAATAAAAACAAAATGGAAAATTATAGTGATGGAAATTTGCATCAAACCTCGGGTTTTAAAAGTTATTAATAGACAAAGTGATAATACTTTCTCTAAAACCAATTTAAACACAGGAATAGGAGGAAGTAAGGAACAGTTTTATGGGAAATTTTTGTAATAAAGATGAAAAGAAAAACATATTTCCTAGTTTGGAGTAATAATACACATCACTGAACTATCTCAATGGGAAAACAAATCGGTGTACTGAACTGTAAAGATGTTTATTATATGAAGTAAGGTATCCTTACTTAACAAAGGGATCCACCTCAGCACTATTAACATGCCACAGGATGTTAGTACCACCCACTTTCTACCTGTGTGACAAATGTCTGCGGGCATTGCAAAACTGCCCCCAGTTGAGAATCATGACCTTAACATTAATTTAAAGTTACTATTACAGGGCGCCTGGGTGGCTCAGTTGGTTAAGCGACTGCCTTCGGCTCAGGTCATGATCCCGGAGTCCCGGGATCGAGTCCCGCATCGGGCTCCCTGCTCAGCGGGGAGTCTGCTTCTCCCTCTGACCCTCCTCCCTCTCATGCTCTCTGTCTCTCATTTTCTCTCTCTCAAATAAATAAATAAAATCTTTAAAAATAAATAAACAAAAAATAAAGTTACTATTACAGCCTAAGAAGTCTCTACAATCAACAGATGGTTTCTGGTCTCTAAAGCTTCCCACACCGGAAAAAAATTATTTTAGAAAATATCATAGAATATCATAGAATACTTCCTAAACAACCTTGAAATGTTCTTACTGGGTAGGAGAAAAATCAAGACAAAATTTTATTATAGTTTGGCTAGGCCTTAGAGATGAGAGAGTCAAAGGAAGACATAGGCCCTAATACAATTTTTTTTTTAAAGATTTTATTTATTTGAGAGAGATAAAGAGCAGGGGGAGAGTGAAAGGGAGAAGCAGGCTCCTCACTGAGCAGGGAGCCCAATGCGGGGCTTGATCCCAGGACGCTGAGATCATGACCTGAGCTGAATGCAGAGGCTTAACGACTGAGCCACCCAGGCGCCCCATAATACAATATTTTTTTAAACCAGATAAAGGAATAACCTAAAAAGGTATTGAAATGTCATCCCCAATGGATACCAGAATGGACATTTTAATAAATTGCATATTGCCAGAAAATGGCAAAAAAGAAAAAAAAAAAAAAATCCCAACTAGAGGGTATATGTTGGTAAGTCATACAAGTATAAACTCTTACCTGTAATATACTTCCCAATTGTTTATGAAAGAACTTTACAAATTCTTTGCTCTCATCATTTTGCTGGGTGAGAGTCAAAACCATACGTCTTACTGAAGTTAGAAGTTGAGAAGAGCATACTTCATCCATGTGCTCCTGAGAAAAACCCTATTTGGTTAGGATGTAAACTTACCTATTGTTTAAAAAATATTAGTTCACATGAGACTGTTTTTTCTTGCATAGATGCTACTCAACTTTCAGATACACATTTAGAAATATCTGTTCATAAGAGCCAAACTCCTGCACTACACATGTTAAGGGGTTTGTACCTTTTGACCCACCACAGCAGGTAACAGCCGGTAAAAAGAGACGAGCTGATTCAATACTTTTCATTACTTCCTTCCTGTATCTTAAGGGGAACTACTCATGCCCTCGTCACCATAGTGCCTGTCTCCCCATGTGCAGTTCAGTTCATTCCAACTGCACTCTTACAACTCACCTCACGCATCTTCAACCTCCGCTTTCTCAGCCCCGTTCAGATTAGGGACATTCTGTGCAGTGCGGGAGGTTCAGCAGCACACTCGGGCCTCCACCCACTAGATGCCAAAAGCACCCTCCACTCTCCCAAGTCCTGAGAGCTAAAACTGTATGGAGACACTACAAAATGCTTTTAGGGTCAAAGTTACCCCCAGTTGAGAACCACTGTCCTAACTTTCCGAACAAGCCTTTTTGGGCGTCTCCTCTTCTCCTTCATCTTCCTTTAGAAGCACGTGCAAACTACCTAATAATCCAAATCATGGTTCACTTCTGGAGGTGAGTCCATAAAACACCCACATCAAGTACCTCAAGGTTCTCATCCCTCTTCTGGGCCACTAAACTCATTTGGGCAGGTCTTCTAACCTTTACTCAGGTAAGTTCATGTTCTGATTTTTTTTCTATAGAAATGTATGAAGTGAGGTGGCTAAACTAGATGATTTCTAGGATTCCTTAAATTGAAGGAATTAAGTCGTTTTTTTAAAAAATCATGTGACAGAGCAGGCAGTTAAAAAAAAAAAAAAAAAAAGGACAATAGTCCCTTGTCTTCAAGGGATCAAATACCAGAGGAAAAAGTCAGATACACGAACAATCAATCACTACATGCTATTCCCTGTCCAACAGATGATACTTTTTAATTCCAGGGACTGTTTCTTATTTATCACCTAGCACAGTGGCCAGCTCACGGGAGACACTCATTACTTGCTGAATATACTGGTATCTTAAAAGCAGCACACACTAGGTTCTGCAAGGAGTTATGGTAGCATATTAGAAACAATAATTATCTCTGAAGAAAGGATATTTCTGCCAAGCAGAGAAAGAGTGAAGGAATTTTATATTTTCAATAATGACAACTTGTACAAAGGGCTGATATATGAAAATGCAATGGCTGGAACGGGAAATGCTGAGTAACCTGAAGTGAGTGAGTGAGTGAGGGGACCAGATGGAGAGTGGGGAGAGATGGAGCTGGGGAAGTATACGAGGTCCAGTAGTGAAATCTCTTGAAGGCTAGGGAGTCTGCTTAGTAAACATTCATTTCATGCCTACCATGACAAGCTGTCTAGGCAGAACATGAGGATCTGAATTAAGGTCATGCTATTGGAGAGAGGAAGGAATAGTGACTGCTCTTAAGGGGAAAATCAATTTTGACTCACTGGTGATAGAGGGTATGAGAGTCAAGAAGTCTAGCTTAGGTGACTGGATATAATGCTGACATTAACAAAGAAGTTCTATGATCCTACCAAGAAAGTCAAGATTTGAAGTGAAATGAGACATAACAAAATAGTTAAAATCAGATCATTAGTTCTACTCATTTTGTTGGCCTCAAAAGCTTTTTGAAATGCTAAATTTAGTAAGTGAATATTTATGAGGGGCTATCAATTAAATCAGACACAAAATGGTAAAAGCAATAAAATTTCCTAACTGTAGATGACTGCATTCCCTAAGCATAAACCTAAATCATTTAGATTTTTTTAAACCTTAGAAAGTAACTGTACATACTA